TCTCTCTCTCTCTCTCTCTCTTTCTTTCGCCAGGCTGGAGGGCAAGCCCTCGCCCGGAGGGCCGCCCCTTGTTGTCGGCGTGCACGGTATTACGTGCGAAAGACTAGGGTTACCGACCTCACACCGACGGGTTTTCCGCCCCGGAGTCCCATACTACTCCGTGACAACACATGTGACAGCGCTACACATAACCACTCTGAGACAATACCACTCTTCCTGGACACTCTCTCTCTCTCTCTCTCTCTGTGACATGTGCACGGATATAGTCCCTCTGCATTCTGGCACCTCTTGGGTTCACTGGCCACTTCCAGACCGCCGTGTCTATGTGCCCTGAAAGGTACTATAGCCATATCCAAAGAGATGCATGCTTGTACATACACACCGAAATTCATATGTATATATATATATATATATAAATGTATCTGCATATGCATATGCATGCATGTATGTATGTGAGTCGTTGGATCCGTGTAGGGTCCCCGAAACCTGGAAGAGTAAAGTCAAGCGGAGAGATTGTGATTGCCAAGTTCACATAAATTTAGGCATGCATGTGCGACGCGCGCGCGTGTGTGTGTGTGTATATATATATACATACATACACACATGCACATACATACATACATACATACATACACCGATCTGCTGAGTTTCTTGGAGAGGTTTCGTTTATATAGGGGTTTAAGATCTTTTTTGGGGGGTTTAGGATCTAAGCTGTAGGGCTTTGCTTCAGGATGTTTTCACTTCAGGCCTGAAGTCGTACTGAAGTCGAACCTCAACACCAGATCCCGAATCTGAAGAAGTCGGGGCGAGCTCAGCGTCGTGCTCCTCTCGCTGATCAGTCTCTGTTTGCGAAAACGGGCGGTCGTACCTCTGAGGCCGAAGGCTCAGGATTTTGTTCGGATGCTTTCTCAAAGCAGAGTTCCTGGCACCAGACGAAGCATCCACACTGCCTCTGTGGCAGCTCAACCAAAAAAGCAGGCTAGCAGATAGAGAAACGGGTATGGACGAGGAGGCGAGGGCAGTAAGCAGAAAACAATCACACAAGACACGACAAAGACCCAGCCGTGGAAACTCTTTCACTCTGCCTGCTGTATGAATCCTACACTGCGTATCGTGCCTTTCTCAACATCCTTCGCTAAACCCTGGCCCTAACCGGTCTCAACCCCTCCAAATGTTTATGTACATGGCTAGCCAATTTCAGATGTTGGGCTGAATGATTCCTAGATCTGTCGGTAAAAAGTTGTTAAGAGGACCCCGAGTTTCAAGCCTATGTAAGGCTTTAAAATCTTGTCTAGACACCGAGCAATCAATGAACATGTCGCTCTAACCTTCAAACCCATTCCTGCAAGTTGCTTAACCCTTCTCAAACCCCGGACGCTGTAATATAGTAGTGAACACAAAAGCCTGAATAGCACCGGATAATAGGCAATGCTTTGATACTATTCCTTCGGCTTCCCTATCTTCAGTTTACTCTAAGTATATCTTTCACTGGATACCCTCTTCTAGCTGTTGCGGTCACTGTCTACCCCCAAACACCCGCAACCTCCAATTCTTGAGGGCCCTCTTTTTACCTCCGAGAGCACTCCGCCATGAAGGAGCGGTCTTCGAAGGTCTTGGGCTCTGGGCGATTGAACTGGCGAAGGATCCTCAGAGCTGGCGAAAACGGGGCCTTCATGCGGTTTCGGGTTGAGGAGAGCTGGCTTATGGGGCGTCGGTAGGGTTTGTAATGTAGGGGCCGTAATGATTAGAATAGAGTTTGGGGTTCCTGTATAGCATATAGTTTTACTAAGGAACCCTAACAACTTTCTTGCTAATTATTTAGGCCAGGCTTCTATATTACTGTGATTTGCCGGGAATTTTCAACAGGGTAACTGCAGCGTTGTATGTTCATGAGGTGTTGTTAAAGCTTCATTGAGGTTGACAAAGTTCTAGAACGGAGTTGCTTTTCTGGGTTTTGTGGTTTAGGTTTTGAGGGATTTTTTTTGGGGGGGGTCTGGGGATCATTTGGGGCTTGTTGAAGACTTCCCAATGTTTCGAAAGAGCTGCCGCCATGGTCTAGAATCTCTTCAGGTCTTGCTGTGATTCTGCAAGAAGTATCTGGAGGTTTGGAGTACCTTACTCACAAATTCGATATTCAGGTTGAGATCAAACATCAAAATTTCTTAAGGGGGCTTCGGCTTCGGGTTGAAACCTTAGCACCTAACCCCTGCGATCCTTAGCAATAGACCCGATGCAGAAGAGCTGACTCCTCAAATCTAGGACCCCTTGACCCGACTCTGTGAACCCTGGACCCTAGACCCTTGCATGAACCCTTAAGACCCCTAACAAATAAACCCGGGACTTCAAACCTGAAGCCTTTGGAGATCCGTGTCCACGGTGTATATAGGGGTTTCGTCATCCGGGCAGTTCGAGTTTCTGGGGCCTTAGAAGGTCCCGTAAGGGCTCTGCAACGCTTCGGTCAGGATCTAGGGCGTTGGGGGCTCAAAACAATTCCAACACACTAAACCTTCATAAATCTTCAAGCTCCAAACCCTAGATGCTAAACCCCTAAACCCTCCAGAGCATGAACCTTGGGCTTAGAGTTTAGAGTTTAGGGCCGACGGCCCAGAACTCCGGAACCCCGTGGCTCTGGGACCGCGACTGATACCAGCGGCGGTCGGCTCGGAGGATGTCGTGCTCCAGGATGACCTGGTGCTTTCTTGGTTTAAGGCTTGCTGGGTTGTGCTTTAAACCCTTTGAAAATTATTTATGAATTGGCTCCCTTTCTAAGGAAATAAGCGAAATTAAGACTTATCCCAAAGCACAACCTAGCTTAGGGTTTGGGGATCTTGTTTCGATGGAGGACGATAGGGCTCATAGGGTTTGAAGTTTAGAAAGGACTCTGGGGGGTCCAGGTCTTATGCGGTTGCTATTTTCAGGGTTGATACGGATGGCCCTAAACCGAAACATAAACCGGAAAGAAAAGCCGTGAGCCCGACTCAAACCGCAAACTGCGAGACCTGTCGTTTCAAACCTAGGGCAAGCTTAGCTGCTTAGCTACGTAATCACAATCCCTGAGCTCTACAAATATCTACAATCCCTAAACCCTAAAACCCCAAATCCCTAAACGCCCGGCGAACGCAAAACCCTTGCAGACCCCTAGACCCCTTCAACAAGCTTTGAAGGAACCCTTGAAAAGCCGGGCCCTGCACCCTATGACATATTGTGAGACACTATATTGGGTGGTTGCGAAAATTAGGGTCCTTTTTGAGTCCTTATTCTAATGCGGCACCTAACATTTAGGGTACCCAAGAAGGGGCCATAATTTTGACAACTACCTATATGACACACTCTGCAGCCCAGGCCAGCCCCCACGGCCTGGTCCACAATCTTCGTCGAAACGTCGCACTTCTCTGCTATAAGCTTGATCGCCTCCGGCGTGAAGACCTGCTAACAACTGTCGAGCTTCCTCGCGGGAGATAGAAGTTTCCCGTTGTGTACTATTTTTTGGGATTTAATAAGACAGCAAAAGCATCATCGGACAAAAGGAACCCTAAGGAAAGGCAACGGCAATGATTTGGGCTTCTACGGTGTGTAGGGAGAAGGTTAAAGGTTACCTACTGGATTACCAGATGACCTGGCTAACGCAAAGGACGTGTGTTCTGGGGTTTTGGGGGTCTAGGATGAGTACAGCTAACCCGGCATAGGGTTTAAAGCCCTGAACTCTAAATCCTAAACCTAAACCCTAAACTCTAAATCCTAGACCCTAAACTCTAAACAATTTAGGGTTTAGCAATAGGCAACCCCAGACCCCAAAGCCCTGAGAACATGCGCCACTTGCTTTATCGTAGTAGTCCAATAGGTGACATTTCGATCTGCATGTGTTGTTTACAGGCTTAGGGTTGGCTCAGGGGTCTGAGGGGTTTAATATCTGAGGATAATTATTTGCGCTTTGAGGGCTTGGGGTTTTATGGGCCCAAGCAATAGAAGCTTAGTCCAACGTTTACGGCGGTTTACGGTGCTTCAAGGCTCATGGGTGACCCTGAAGTTCAGAAGTAAGGTGATGGATGCGGACCCAATTGTTATGCTGCTGGCCGATGCGCCCCATTCTAAAAACTACCCCTCAAGTGGAGCAACTTACGGAGTACTGCCTGAGCTCTGAAGACTCCATAATTACTTGTATCAGCTTTCAAACGAAAATTGAAGACCACAATCTGAGCACATGGTCGCTTTGATTTTCTGTATGGGCAAATACGAGGCTTCTTACAACCAGCCTTCAGCCGGCGGATCTCACGAGCCAGTGCAATGTGTAGATCGAGACTGTGACTACAGCCGAGGTCCCCATCCCGTTCACAAGCAAACTAACAGAAACATACACTTACACTACTGCTTACTTTCTGCACCTATACGCCCGAAACCCCGTGCTTCGGGATGAAGCAGCTCACGATCAAAATCAAAACTAGGCCCTGCTTCCTATTAACCCCCGTTTCATAGAGCCGCACAAGAACCCCTGTGTTCAACGAGAGACTAATATAAGGGCCGTTATACTGTAGTTAAAATAACGGTCCCCCCGCCAAACTAGCATAGGTAATTATTAAGGCCCCTATAGTATACCACCCTTTCCAACCCGAATCCCTGAGATGCCGTTTTTCTGCTCCTTAAACGCGTTGCCGTTGGGCCGCATCCAGCATAAGGCTGAGGGTCTTCAGGGTGGAGAGCGGGGGTTGCGGAGTCGGGTTGAGTAATTTAAAATTGAGGATCGTCAGGATGCTTCTATCCAGATTTCACCAGGGCATTAGTGTTTGGATGTAGGTTTAAGGGATAATCATTTCGGAAAATCCATGTATGATTTGCCTCCAAGGTTTGGCATCCTGACATGTGAGTACCAAAGTGATTACCTCAGCTGTGTTCCGCCTTGGGTGTGTAGACCCTCAGAGGTATTTTATACAGGCATCAAGACAATGAACTACAGAAGGTTCCTGGTTACGGAACTCAGAACATATACGGCCTTAGCACTGCGCTCAAGAAACACTCCCAGAAGCTAGAACAGTCTGGAGATCAGCGACCTCTACCGCCCCGATCTTGGCAATCACGCACGTTGAGTCCAGTAAAAACTTCTGCAAATTACCACTGAAGTGGTAGGGCTTCGGTGGTACAGCATGGCCATGCAGCAGGTTCGCAAAACGACCGGAGGCATCGATGTCGTGAAATCTACTCCTCGACTCCACATTCACGATAACACACCTGGAACAGGTCCGGGCTGAGACTCGCAGCTCAGAGCGCGAGGAGGGGATTAGTTCTCTCCAGCCTTTACTATGCAGAAAAGAAGACGGAAAACATGCAGCCCAGGTAAACGGGTACATATCATTACAGCTGGCTTGCTCTGACAGCAGACCCCTAAGCAATCCCGTAGGCTTTAAGGAACTGCCTGAGGTCACAGCGCTTAAGTTCCAGAGTACGGTTACTGCCTCCACAGTTGCCGGCTCACACGCCCAACTTGTTTAGTATGCACCTAACATTTAGACGAGGGGCCTGGGCTATATCGCATTTAAACTGCAAGTAACAAGGAAGGCATCGTCGGTTTTCAAACAGGTTCCATATTACGCCCGAAATCCGGCTTGAAGACTACCATGAGGTGACAGTGATTTGACAACCGTGCCCCCATCCCTCCAAGCTGAACCTTATGCAACCACAGCTGACTTGACTGCAGGATCTGACTGACCAGTTTGCAGAAGTGCAGGAAACCTAGTAGACCTGCAGTGCCGTTTGATGGGATAACCAAGCTTCACCGCACATATTAGGTCAAGGACTTTATGGTTCGTGTTATGTTTCACCTATGGCATCTTCGCAAAAGGAACGCAAAGACGATGTTCCCGCGGTTCAATATGACTCTAAACCCCTGAGCCCATACCCCATACGCTGGAAACCTTAACTCCGTAGGCCCACAAAACCCCAAAACGTTTAAGACCCATATACCCCCAAAGTTATCGTAAGACCGTCTTAAGATAAGCTTGGGGGTATATATATATATGGGTCTTAAAGGCTTGGTAAGGCTCATAACATGCAAACCTCATAAGCCCTTCTGCCTCGCTTGAATTCCTTCTAGGAGGCGGTCGAGGCCCTCAAGTTCTCCGAGGAGCTTCGCGAGAGGATCCTGACTTCGCAAAGGCTTGGGATTTTCAGTTTTGGGGTTTGCGGGCTTTGTTAGGCCCATGTACAAACGACTTCACAAGTCATGTGAGCCTTCTGGTAGACACCCCGTCCGTCAAACCGTCTCTAAGATCCCAAGTATACAACCGTTAACTACTTTGCGATATTAGACATGGCACCAGCATGGGGCTATCTGGAGTGACCCAAACCATCTTTCCGGCCCTTTCATGCACTAAAGTTCGGACTCTGGATCGCTGATGAAGAACCTAGAGGCCTTAATAATTAGAATAGGGTTTGGGGGTATATGCTACTATAACTATAAGAAGGAGCCCCCAAAACCTTATTCTAAATATTGAGGCCGCTATATTAAGCATCCCTCCATTGGCCAGGTTTCTGGTCGGGATCGCATGTCGGTGATAATCAGTGAAGGGCCCACCCTTACAGGAGACATAAGACAGCAAGAGCCCCACAACACCGTAGAACGCTAAACCGCTAAATCGTATCACGCGCAAGCAGCCAAGCACCACAATCGAAAACGCTGAAAACACTAAACCCAAAACCTAAATCAGAAAACTACAGTCTCCAGAACCCTAGGCTCTAAACACCGACAGCGAAAGCCCCGAACACCCAAACCCCAGAATTACAAGAAACCCCAACCCTAAAGCCTAACATCCGAAACACCAAAGCCTAAAAATCCCCAAATCCCAACTTTCCTAAAACCCCAAAACATGCCTAAACACATAAAAAATCACTAGCAACTACAACAAATACCAAATCATAACTCATAGGAGTCCTCTTGGTCCTGGGAAGTGCGCACCGTGTGGTACAGGACAAGCCTGGGCTCTTGGAGTTCTTAGGGTGGCTAAACTCTGTACCCTAAACCCTAAACCCTAAATCCTAAACTCTATACCCCAAACCCTATAAGCCCTAAATCCTAAACCTGATTTCTCTTTCGATTTTTGTCGTTAGGACATGCTTGGACTTTCTGGGATGAAGGACCTCAAGGTCTTCAGGTTTTTTGCTGTTCAGGAATTGGGGCGGGATCCACTCTGGATGCTGGGTTTGGGGAATTTGAGCTTAGGCTTCAGAGCAGAAGCCGCAAAAGGGACGTGTTGAAATGGTCGAAACTGCAAGACACGCCAATGTAGGAACCTGATTAAGACACCTTGGGCCTTCATCAGGGCAACTCATATGAATCCTACCATTTTGGGGTTATAGGCCCAGGGTTTCTTCATCAGGTTCCCACATTACCCGAAAGGAGATCCAAGTAGCAACGTCGTTGCCGGAGGATGCAACACGAGCTCATGGAGACTTCTCTGCAGGCCATCGGCGAAGTAGATGCTGAAATCAGGACTCGGACTTCCGACGCTTAAACGACCATGCTTCTGCCCAGTCAACAGTGGGCAGCAGCAATGCATAGCAAAATAGCAGAGGTAGAGCACCATGAGCAAAAGCAGTGGCTCGAGGATCTTTGCAGTTCTCTCCCAAAAGACATCCTTCAGCCTCTGAGTCCGGGATCTCGACCACGCTTCGTAGCGCCGGCGGACGGATTCTGCCAACTTTTTCGGGCTGACCTTAGCAGAACCTTCCACAAGCTGAAGCCACCGAAGGCCCTCCGTGTCATTCCTGAGAAATGGAGAACCAGACTGATCCGCCAAGTGCAAGATGCCGATATTGAGCATAGCCTCTTCCTTGCCAAGTCTAGCGGATTCCGCAAGCAAGCTCTTTCCACCACAGCTCAACATATCGCGGTGATCTCCCGGGAAGTGCTCGGCAGAACACAAACCGAACATGTAGTAAAAACTCTTTGCTGCTATCTCCTGAGGCACATCTGTTGCAACCTTCGCAAGCATAGCGAAGAGGTTGCGGGCAGTGTCAAAGTGGCATTGTACAATAGCATCACGAGCGCAGTGAAAGACCACAACCCAATCAAAGTCATCGATCTCCTCTTTGGCTGCGGTGTGAGGACCCATCTGTGTCTCAACCCATTCTGCAACTTTGCTGCACTCTTCCGCTCGTCCTTTCCAGCTTCCTTGCACCCCGCCAAGAGCTTCCTGACTCAGCCCGAGACCCCAAATTATGAAACCTTGAACCCTCAACCCTAAACCCTGAACCCTAAACACTGAAACCTAATCCCGGAACCCAAAACCCTGAATCCTCAACCCTAAACCCTGAACCGTACACTTCCTGGATCACTTCGAGGAGGGCTGAACAAGGACCTGCAAGCTGCCTTTCGAGAGTGTGCAAGGCCGTGCCGTTCCTTTGCAAAGAGCAGGTATGATTGCAGAATTCACTCCTGGGCCGCTCTTCAGGTGTAGGTCCGGTTTAGGGTTTCCTATGGGCGCATAGGATAAGCATCGCACTATTTGGGAGGTCAGGTGCTTCTTATGGCATTATGGATCTCCGAAGTATTTGAGTATTGTTAGCGCCTACACTCTAATTGCCTTGTCCTGAAAATCAGGGAAGCTGTAAAGAACAATACTGGGTTCTTGTTAAGGGATTCAAGTTTAAGTTACCATAATAGGCATCTATAGAAACTAATATGGCTTCCTTATTATGGTAGCTTACGATGAACCCCTTAACAAGAACACTGAATGGGCTCGGAAGAATTAGTCATGACATCTCATGACGGCCCTTGTACATCTGTACTACAGTAGACCCACAACCCTGTTCGCGGTATTACGGCCCTATATTATGTTCAACTGCAGCGCAGGCACACTTCGCTTCCACGGATGCAGGAGCTATGAAATTGTACAGCCGGTCCTCGAAACCCCGGGCCCTTAATCCTAAACTCAAGAACCTACTTACACCCTAAGCCCTAGATCCTGAACCCTGAACCTACACTATCTAGAACACCTAACCACTCTACAACCCAACCCTATACCCGCTGACAGACAGTCCTATAGATCCCTTGTAGAGGCCTTTCTAGTACCCTGCAAGGAACCTAAACCCTAAACTCTAGATCCCAGACCCTGAACCCTAAACCCTTTTGCCCCTCAAGGGCCTTCCTCTGTCAGCGCCACTCGAGCAGACAATAGGCTTCCCAGTCCGATCGTCAATGAGATGATCAAGGCCTAAAAGCGCGTTTTTCTTTGTGGAGCCCTCCGTGGGGTTTGTAAGGGTTCTATAAGGGATCCTTAAAAGGGCTCTATAACGGGGTTGTAGTTTGGGCTTTAGGGTTTAGGTTTCCGGTCCACGTCTTAGGCTTAGGGTTAATATGTAAAGGGTTTACTTGAGGTTCTATCGGCCCTCTATGTGCGCTTTAGTTTTTGTTTAGGGCTTCTACCTTTAAAGCTCTGTAAGTTTCTCAAGGCTTTGTTCATGGTTCTGGAAGGTTACTTATGGGTTTAACTGAAGGTTTCTTCAGCTCTTGAATAAGATTGATTGAGGTTCCTTCGAATTCTTTAATAAGATTGGTTGAGGTTCGACAAGGGGTTCTGCGCAGGGCTTCTTTAGGGTTCCCCATAGGGTTCCCTATGGGGTTTATTGGGGTTGCGTACAGGTTTTTTGTGCTTATTGAAATCAAGATAGGGTTCTGTATAGCGTTTTCAGGATTTTAGTAATTCTTTACAGGGTTTGTTCACTCAGGGTTCTATGGCGGCTATATAGATATAATATGAAAATATGTGTATATATATATATAGAGAGAGAGAGAGATGGAAATAAAGAAATAACGGAATAAAGAAATTAGATAGATAGACAGGGTTCGAGAAGGGCCCTTAATGGATATACTTTGGGTTCTACAGTGGTCCTGTACTTGGCGTCGTCCGGGTTCTAAGAGCATTCCAAAAATGGGGGTAAAGGATGTATTCAGACCTCTTTCAAGGTTTTCTGCAGATTTGTGTTGGTTGTGGAAGTGGTTGTTGAGGTTGCTAGGCGGGTTCTAAAGAATAGGATTTATTAGGGATTCTATAGGGGTTATCTATAGTTGTATTGAGCGTAAGTACTCTTTATAGTGATTGTTTAGGCGTCGATACAGGGCTCTGCTTGAAAAAAGGTATATGTATGTACACATATATACACTCATTGTATGCTCTTCTTCTGTGATTTGCAGAGGCTCATAGACGAGTTTCATACGGGTTGGGGAAGCTCTCGAAGCTCAGATAAGGGTGTAGATGGTGTAGCTTGTAAGGTTTGGCTTTGCGAGGCTCTTGTGTGGTTGTGTATAGTGGGTTGTGTAAGGATTGATCAGAGTTTAGGCCGTCTTTCTTCCATGCGGGCTTCTCTAGTGTTTGGAAGATACGTGCAGGACTTCCAGCTGTAATGTAGACCCCCCAACCGTAAACCCTAAACCCTAATCCCTAAAAACTAAACTTATAATCCCTAATCCCTGAACCCTAATCCCTAACCTCAGGAGGCTGCCTTCATAATTAGAAAAGGGTTCGTTTAAAGGGTTCTTATAAAGGGTCTATATAAGGGATCTATAGTAGGGTTCGAAATAATCAGAATAGGTTTTTGGTGCCCATCATACTATAATAAGGAACCCCCCAGAATAGTATTGGTAATTATTTAGGCCCCTGTAGTACCCTCTCGCACAGTCCAGGTGCTCTATTAGCGACTACTGTAGGGTGGTCCTGGCAGGGTTTTCCTAAACTACCCATACAGGTATTCGACGCGCAAGTACCCAAATGTAGGCGCCTTACTGAATAGAGCTCTGGGGTACAGAATCCTTTTGATTTGACTGTAGGGGATGCTTTTGTACAAGTTACTCAAAACCAATTCTTCGGTAATTCGGACCCCGAAGATAAGGGCTTGGAGTTGGAAGATGAAGGTTCTAGCCCCGACCAGAGCTGTCTGAACCCTTATCCTAAAGCAGTGCAGACACCTGATTGACCTTCCCTCTTTGCTTCATCAGGATGCTTAGTGTCACGACACTTGAAGGAATGGCAGGTGAGGGGATTACATCATCACTGAAACCCTCAAACCCACCAAAACCTGGATACTCGAACCTCTTTCCAATCTCTAGAGAACAACAGAAAGCTTCAGAGAATCTGAGACCCTAATTAAAAATATGCTCTGATTACTGCTTCAAGATCCTCAGTACAAGGACCCACAACAACGGATCCCCATTTTGAAACAACCCGTACCAAAGATCGTCTCAGGGCCTTATACGTGCAAAAGCCCTTTCACTTCCTACGAAGCCTAAAACACTGCAAAGCTTCAACCTTTATCGAATCCTGAGCAGCAAGCGAACGCCTATGGAACGCTCTTAAAGGACTACCCTAAACCACGCACCCCCCCAAAACACAACAATCTTAGAACTCTTTCAGAGAACCCTAACGCCCATTTATTCCCGGCCTGCAGCGAACAGGGCCGACAAAGGCATCCCATGGCTGCAGCTGATGCTTCGGCGCTGCACGGCTGAAGGTCTAGTATCAAGGGGACTTGATAAGTAGAATAGGGTTTTCAAGAGGATCACAATTCGACTAGGATCCCAGAGATATTCTAGTATTCTACAGGAACCCTCCGGGGACATTGTTTCCATTTCAGAAAGACTTCTGTATCGAGGCTTTTCAGTCGGGGCTGAAGGTCTGCGGGAGTGGGGCTTCAACAACGCTTAGCATCGATGCTCAAGACGGCAATGATTCACCTATGTGCTGCATGGTCTGGTTTATTGGGTTTAGGGTATATAGGGGTTTAAGGGTGAAGGGTGTAGGGGTCACAGAGCCTGGAGGCTGCCCGCAGTTTCCATTCACCACATGCATTGTGTCTACTTATTGAGGGCCCTATGTTAGACCCAAGCCAGGCAGGCGCCCCAGGCTGTTGCGAATGGTCCGGATCACGCGCATGACCGTGTCATGGTGGCCACTAAAAGTCGATGCACAATCTATCTAAACGTTGCGCCCCATCCCCAGCAACCGGAGACGCTAAAGCCTCAAACCCTGAAACTTGAAACCTCTTGCAGAGCCCTTGTAGAACCTTTAGAGAACGTACTACACGACCCTCATAGAACTCTCAGAACCCTTATATTATTATAGAGATCAGCACCCCGCACAACGTATAGACCTAAGACTCCATAGTAGATTCCACGGATCTCCAACTTCTACACCCTATAGAGCCCCAAGCGGCCCACACCCACCCACACGCACATACACAAAAAAACACAGGAAACCATGAAACCCTGAAATTCCTAAATCCACCTTCTTGTGGTTTGAGGCCAGCTCGACTGGCGTCATCGCTTCGAGAATCCGAATTCCCTGGCGTGCAGCATCACTGAGTCGCTTCGGGTTTTAGAATTCCTTTCAGGATTCCCGTAACAATAGGGTTTTTTTGAATTATGGGGTTCTATGAAGGCTTCATACGGGTTCCATAAGTCTTTGGGGTCGTTTTAAGGTACCTTTTAGGATTCCATGAAGGGCTCTATGAGGCCTCATACGGCGTGTTCTGTGGGGCTTTGCGGTCGGTCTAGGTCCTTGTAGGATTCCGTGAAGGGTTCTGTGAGGGATTCATACGGATTCTATATCGCTTGAGGGTTCGTTTCAGGATTCCATGAAGGCTTCCATGAGGGCTACATACGGGTTTTACAGGGCTTTACGGTCGTGTTAGTGTTCCTGTTAGGATTCCATGAAGGGCTCTATGAGGGCTTCGTTCAGGTTCAGGGCTTTACGGTCGTTTTGGTCAGACTTCCATGAAGGGTTCTGTGGGGGCTTCATACAGGTTCCATGAAGAGTTCTATGAGGGCTTCTTTCGGGTTCTACAGGGCTTTACTGTCGTTTTAGGGTTCCTTCTAGGATGCCGTGAAGGGTTCCGAGGGCTTCATGTGCAGGGTGCTACGGTCGTTTTAGGGTTCCTTCTAGGATTCCATGAAGGGCTCTATGAGGGTTTCATACGGGTTCAACAAGGCATTGCGGTCGAAGAAAAGTGCTCCTTTTGAGATTCCATGAAGGGCTCTATGGGGGCTTCATACGGGTTTCTATAGGGCGTTGCGGTCGTTTCAGGGTTCCTTCAAACATTCCATCAAGGGCTCTATGGGGTTTCGAAAAGTTTCTAGAGGGTTTTAAGGTCGTGGCTGGGGTTCCTCTTTGCATCTCCGTGGGCTGTCCTTACATCAAAGGGGTTGAAGGGGCTTTGTATGTTCTTGCTGCAGGTTTGCAGGGTTGTTTGATTAAGATTTGCTCTCTGTTTCGGGCTCGGAGCTTGGCAGATTTTGGACATACAGCATGCGCATGTTTGTCATTGCGGTGTTCTCGTGTGGGTTCCGGGGGTAGGATTCTGGCACAAAGGGTGCAGGCACATTGGCGTCTGCTTCCTGTCAGTGCATGTTCAATCATGAAGAAATGAAGGCGAGGGCCACGATGCTGATGATGATGATCCTCACCATGATTAAGATAATTGCTACCATACTCGCAGTGGCCGACATGATCCCGGCGGTGTTACTGGTCACGACCACGACGACGATGATGATGGTGGTGATGACGAGAGTGAGGCTGACCGTGCATTGCGGGTGATGGTGATGGCTTGGAAAATGCTGGTGCCGATGACGTTCGTGACCGCAAGTTCGCAGCTTAAGAGGGGAAGCATGCCGGGCCATCGTGAGCCTAAATCCTAATAGAGGGACCTTAATGATCAGAGTAGGGCTTTGAGGTACGTACATCACCACTACGAATGCAACAAAGTACCCTTCGGCAAACTCCCGAGCCCAACAGTCTGCTATCGTCTGAGTTCCCTGGCCCGTTCCAGGTAGACCATTGATGGATCATCCCCCAATCGCCGTCGCCAGCCGTAGCCCCCGATCAGATCCAGCAGCTGCGAGTCAGTCAGAGAGTTCTCTTTGAGGGCGCCGTAATGGTTCTATACGGGTTGTGCAAGGGCTATAAAAGGCTTCTATTAGAGTACTGCTCGGGTGCATTAAGGATTCCTTCAAAGTTCAACAAGGCAGCGAAATGCAGATGATGACCAGGTATCAAACATAAGTTGATTCTGCAGGGGCCGCTCGGCTTCTAAAAGGCTTCTATACGAGGTCTTCCAAGGTACGATACGACTCTGGAGTTTACGGGTTAGGGGCTTCAAGTCAGCGGGGTTGGGGATTGCAAAGTGTTAGGGATTTGGGTTTGTAACCAGTGTTTGTTTTATCATCAGCCACAGTGTTCACGGTTTAAAACACTTTGTGTTGCTACTCTTACGACTATGACATGGTGATGGCTGGGTGACTGCCATTAACAACAGAGTACTCACCGTCTGGGGACAGTGCTTCTACATATAGCGCTGCGCCATGTTCCCGTTCAAGAGTATGGGCTGTACCTTGCCCCAAGATGCAGTTTCCAGATGATTGTGGGCTTCTTGAAAGCGCTTTCCGGTTGCCTAGCCCATATGGGGCGCCGTGGTGGGGCCTCGGCTTTCCCAAAGGCTTCTGTTCTAAGTACCGATATAGTACAACCTGGGCCCACCCTCAACTTCACCTGAACCCTACACCCACGCTTTAAGCATCACAAGGCCCAAAAGAAGCCTTTCGCTGGTAGGCCAGGAAGCTGCCTGGGCTTTGGCTTTAGCCGAGGCTTTAACATGATCATGCAGATAATAAGAGAAAGATATGAAGCAAGAATGGAGACATGTGACGATGATAACAGAGACATATTCATTACATGTTTTGCTGCCACTGCTGATAACGTCCATAGCATTCATTTCCAGGTTTAACACTGGTATGTATGAATATGATCATGTGAGCATGTTTAACATTGCTAGTAATCATATGACTCAGAAATCCAACTGATCATGGGCTGGAGTTGGAAGTCGGGGCCCTTGATGAACTCCTCTACGGGCTGAGGCCTTAACTAATGGTTATAGATGGCTAGTATATTTGGATTTAGGGTTTAGGACTTTCAGGAAATTAGTATGCCGCGAAGGTTATTACAGTGTTTAAGTTGCCCAAAAACCACCCATTTTCACCCGGGACCTCCATAGACTCGCCCAGTCACCGTAGGTCCAAACCTCCGGCTCCATCAAAAAGCGCTTGGCATCTTCGAAGACCTGCTCCTGCAGTGAGGATGGTCATTAGGGGTTCCCTCAGCGGCCAAGGGATCTATGATGAGGCTCTATAAGTTGAGGGTTCTATCATACTAAGGCTTCCAAAAGGGTTTGTTTAAAGGTATGTTTCAAGGGCTAAAGTACTGCAGGGTTCCGGCTTGAGTATAGTTAGGATAGCTGCCGTGGCTAGGGATGTCCGCGCGTGTCGCCTAGGCTTCGAACTTCGCAGTGTGCCAAGCTCCCGTCGATCCGGAGACCTTGAAATCACTTCGTTCAGGACTAGGGTTTAGGGTTTAGGTTTTAGGGGTTTGGGGTTCAGTCTGAAGGCACCCTGCTTGACTATCATTATGTGGGTCATTATGTGGTTAAAGCAGCTAAAGTCGGCTTATGGCTCGGTTTCTAGATCTCGGGCCTCTGAAAGCCTAGGATGTCAAATGTTGACACCCTTGACAGTGTTCCCTTTACAGTTCTGCTGTGGTTTGTGGCTTGCGAGCTTCAGGATAGCATACAACAGGTTATTTTTATAGATATAGAATATAATATATATATAGATATATATATATATATATATACTTGTACATATTTACATTGTACTATATGTATATATATATATATATATATATATATATATATGTGTGTGTGTGTGTGTGTGTGATTACGAATCGTAGAAAGCTTGCCGCTTTGGTGCTGCAACCCTGGACTCCTGAACCCCGAAAGCCCTGCAGCCCTAAAAAGTCTGAACCTCTAAGCTGATATATGTATGTATGTATATATATATATATATATATATACATATATAAATATACACATATATATATATATATATATATGTATGTAATGTCATGTAGGAACCTGATTAAGAGACCTTGTGCCTTTATTCGGGTTCCTTATATGAATCCTACTACTTTTGGGGGTTATAGGCCCAGGGTTTCTTAATCAGGTTCCTACATTAGATAGGTAGGTTTCTCAATATACGGTTCCGGTCATCCTGCTGCACCTGATCTCGGCGCTCACGATTTCGCACCTGCAGTGGAAGGACCAATCAAGTTCGCGGCGATGCTGCGCTAGACTCTCTGAGACACATGCATGTATAGGCATGCATGCATGCACACAAACGTTCAACATGTGAGTATCTGTATATTTAGATGTGTAATTGGTTCTGGGCACAACAATTTCACTGGAGACCGAGATGGGCCTGGGTGATCAGGCTCAGCTTGCGATCTTCCGGGGCCATGCAGGACCCAAACCCCGACGACGACGTGCGCAGCCGGAAACTTGAAATGTCATGCGTATGGCGGCAGGCGGCAGGACCCCAGCGAAGATCACCGAACAGCGCGACAATAACCAGGGTGCGTGTGAGTGATTGG